ACTGCACTCCAGTCTGGGCGACAGAGTGAGACTCCAACTCAAAAAAAAAAGAAAAAATATTGAATTAAGGAAGATTCTGACCAATAATAACTTGCTTTTCTTTCAACGAATAGCTTGGAACTTGGGGGGATGTTAGCTCCCATTGCTGGGCTGGTAGAAGAAAGACTTGTTATTCATTCATTTTGAAAATATTTATTGAACACTTACTTATAGCAGACTATACTATGCAAATGGGGACACAGAAATAAACAACAGTAGGTTTTACTGTTTTCAGTTACCAATATTTGGGAGAATGAGATTAGCAAATTAAAAGTATGTGATAGAACCAGGTGTGATGGCTCACGCCTGTGATCCCAGCACTATGGAAGGCGAGAGGACTGCTCTACGATAAATCAAAAAATTAGCTGGGCATGGTGGCACATGCCACACATAGTTCCAACCACTTGGAAGGCTGAGGCGGAAGGAACAACTGAGCTGCGGTGGTCGTGAGCATGCCACTGCACTCCAGTCAGGGTGACGGAGTGAGACTCCTACTCAAAAAAAAAAAATGTGGGGAGACACCTCTTATCAGCAAGGGTGCCTGAACAAAGCATATTTGTATACCTAATACCCCACAGTATCATAATATCATAATATGTACCCCACAATTTCATAATAAAAAAATATTGATTATAAAAAAAAAATGTGATAGGCCACCCATGATGGCTCATGCCTGTAATCCCAGTACTTTGGGAGGCCAAGGCGAGAGGAATGCCTCTGCCCAGGATTTGAGACCAGCCTGGGCAACTTGGTGAGACCTCGTCTTTACAATAAATCAAAAAAATTAGCTGGGAGTGGTGGGTGTATGCCTGTGGTTCCAGTTTCTTAGAAGGTTGCAGTGGTAGGATAGCCTGAGTTCAGCAGGTCTGGCTGCAGTGGCCACCAGCATGCCACTGCACTCCAACCTGGGTGACAGTGAGACTCGACTAAAAAATAAGTAAATAAATAGGCTGGGCTCAGAGTCTCACACCTATAATCCCGCACTTTGGGAAGCCAAAGTAAGAGGATTGCCTGAGCTCACCAGTTCAACTTGGCAAGACCTCATCTCTACAATAAATCAAAAAATTAGCCGGGCATGGTGGCACATGCCTTTAGTGCCTGTAGTTACAGCTACTTGGAAGGCTGAAATGGAAAGATCACCTGAGCCCAGCAGGTCTAGGCTGCAGTGGCTGTGAGCAGTGAGCAGCGTTCCACTGCACTTCAGCCTGGGCTACAGAGTAAGACTCCCCTCAAATAAATAAATAAACTCCGACTCAAATAAATAAATGAATAAAATGTGATAATTTGTGTAAAGGAAACAGTGTGCAGGTCTTTCAGCCACAGAGACAAAATTGCTCAAACTGATAGTGAGGAGATCAGGAAAGGCTGAGATTAGGATGTCCTGGAGAAAGTAAAACAATTCAAAGGAAAGGTCCTGGAGAAGGTAAAACAATTAAAAGGAAAAGTCATTCCAGGAAGAGGAAACTATTTGTATGAAAGTAAAAGCCAGGCACAGTGGTTCAAGCCTGTAATCCCAGCACTTTGAGAGGCTGAGGAGAGAGGATTGCCTGAGCACAGGGGTTCGAGACCAGCCTAGGCAACTTGACAAGCTCTCATCTCTACAGTAAATGAAGAAAATAATTAACCAGGCATGGTGGTGCATGCCTGTGATTCCAGCTACTTGGAAGGCTGAAGTAGAAGGATCGATCGCCTGAGCCCAGTAGGTCAAGGCTGCAGTGGCTACCATTGTACTCTAGCCTAGGTGAAAGGGTGGGACTCTGACAAAAAATAAAAGAAAGTTAAAAAGTGTGAAATAATTTGTTATTTATTTATTTTTTTTGGTTGGAGTCTCTCTCTGTTGCCCAGACTAGAGTGCAGAGGCACACTCAGGGTCACTGCAGCCTCTACCTGCTGGGCTCAGGTGATCCTTCCGCTTCAGCCTTTCAAGTAGCTGGAACTACAGGCATGCTCCACCATGCCAAACTAATTTTTTGATTTTTATTGTGGAGATGAGGTCTTGCCAAGTTGCCCAGGCTGGTCTTGAACCCGTGAGCTCAGGCAATCCTCTCACCTCAGCCTTCCAAAGTGCTGGGATTATAGGCGTGAGCCACTGCACTCAACAATAATTTATTTTTATAAATGCAATTAATTTGTTATATTTCTCTCTTTTTTTTGAGTCGGAGTCTCATTCTGTTGCACAGGGTGGAGTGCAGTGGCATGCTCACAGCCACCGCAAACTCGACCTGCTGGGCTCAGTGATCCTTCTGCTTCAGCCTTCCAAGTAGCCAGACCTACAGGCTCATGCTACCACTTCCAGCTAATTTTTGATTTATTGTAGAGACGAGGTTTCCCCATGTTGCTCAGGCTGATCTCAAACCCCTGAGCTCAGGCAATATTCTGGCCTTCACCTCCCAAAGTGCTGGGATTATAGGCGTGATCCACCATGCCTGACCTGCTATGTATATATTTAACATAGTGTGAGCAGTGGTGTGTGATGGGTTATATGATTCTTCAAGATTTATGATTCTACCGTACACAGAGATTTATTTCCACTACCATATGTTCAATTGGGTCTGAGTACTTTTACTGGAAAACAAAATCACTGTTCTTATTTTTCTCTGTTGGTTTCAGGTTCAGCATATTACCATCTTTTTTTTGAGTTGGAGTCTCACTCTGTTGCCCAGACTGGAGTGCAGTGGCCACTCCCGGCCACCGCAGCCTTGACCTGCTGGGTTCCGGCGATCCTTCCGCCTCAGGCTTCCAAGTAGATGGAACTACAGGCGCGCGCTACCATGCTCGGCTAATTTTTTGATTTATTGTAGAGATGAGGTCTCGCCAAGTTGCCCAGGCGGGTCTCGAACCCGCGGGCTCGGGCAATCCACTCACCTCAACCTCCCAAGGTGCAGGATTACAGGCTGAGCCACCGAGCCTGGTGCATATTACCATCAATTAGAAAAAATAAACTTGTGAGTCATGAGTGGGTTAGAAAAGTTGAATCTTCTCTACTGGGCATGGTGGCTCACGCCTGTAATCCCAGCATTTTGGGAGGCAGAAGCGAGAGGACTGCCTGAGTCCAGGGTTGGAGACTCGCCTGGGCAACATGGCGAGACCTTGTCTCTACAATATTTTTTTTTTCTTTTTGAGTTGAAGTCTCACTCTGTTGCCAGGATAGAGTGCAGTGGCACACTCAGAGCCACCACAGTCTCGAAATGCTGGGCTCAGACAATCCTTCTGCCTCAGCCTTCCAAGTAGCTGGAACTACAGTCATGCGCCACCACACCAGGCTAATTTTTTGATTTATTGTAGAGAGGAGGTCTCATCAAGTTGCCCAGGCTGGTCTTGAATTGGTGGGCTCAGGAAATCCTTTCTCGTTGGCCTCCCAAACTGCTGGGATTATAGGCATGAGCCACCGCACCTGGCCCCATCTCAACAATAAATCAAAAAATTAGCCAGGCTTGGTGGCACGCACCTGTGGTTCCAGCTACTCGGAAGGCTGAGGCGGAAGGATCCCCTGAACTGAGCAGGTCGAAGCTATGGTGGCCGTGAGCGTGCCACTGCACTCCAGCCCAGGCGACAGTGTGAGACCCCTACTCAAAACAAAAAAAGGAAAAGTTGAATTTTTTTTGAATTAGAGACTCTGACTCAAAAAAAAAGTTGAATCTCTTTTTTTTGAGTCAGAGACTCCTACTCAAAAAAAAAAAAGAAAAGTTGAATCTTTTTTTGTTTTTGAGTCAGAGTCTCACTCTGTCACCCGGGCTGGAGCACGGGCCACCTCAGCCTCAACCTGCTAGGCTCAGGGGATCCTTCTGCCTCAGCCTTCCAAGTAACTGGGATTACCATGCCCGGCTTATCTTTTTCATTTATTGTAGACAGGGGTCTCACCAAGTTGCCCAGGCTGGTCTGGAACCCCTAGTCTCAAGCAATTTTCTTTCCTTGGCCTCCCAAAGTGCTGGGATTACAGGTTTGAGCCACTGCACTCGGCCAAGTTAAATCTTTTCATTATAAAAGTGGCTTCATGTGAAAAACAGCTCAAACTCTGCAGCCTTATCAACTTCTTCCAAATACCCCCAAACTGATATTTGGTATGGCACAAGCAAGAAGGAAAATTAGTTTTGTTCACTTCATCCAAAACATCAAATGGTGAAGCATTGCAGAAGATCTCCAGATGAATGACGCAACAGAATTTTAGTTTACCTTTTCTCCCTGCATAAACTACACAAACCATTTCCCCCCTTCACTGCACTGAGATGCCCAATTTGTGGCAAGTGAAATCACCTTTTTTTTTTTTTGATTTGGAGTCTCACTCTGTCGTCCAGGCTGGAGTGCAGTGGCAGGCAGGCTTATGGCTACCATAGCCTCAACCTGCTGGGCTCTGGCGATCCTTCCACCTCAGCCTTCCAATAAGCTGGAATTTACAGGCAGATGCCACCACGCCCAGCTACTTTTTTTTTTTTTGAGTTGGAGTCTCACTCTGTCGCCCAGACTGGAGTGCAGTGGCTACATATTTGATTTATTGTAGAGATGAGGTCTCCCCAAGTTGCCCAGGCTGGTCTCAAACCCGTGGGCTCAGAAAATCCTCTTACCTTGGCCTCCCAAAGTGCTGGGATTACAGGCAT